TTGGGATCCTCTGTCTCCCTCTCTCTCTGCCTCTCCCCTGCTCATGCTCTCTCTTTCTCAAAAAAATAAAAATATACAGATTTTTTTTCTTAAATAATACCATAGTTATTGCTTGCCTTAGTTATAGTCCATACATTGTCTTTCAGTCTGAGTACGGGTCTATAATTCCTAATCTGTAATTTTGAAATCAGAAGGCTCTGAAGAAGTAACTTTTCTCCTAGATTTGACTGACACCAATTACATTTGATGACAAAACCTGACCTGAATAGACATGAGACTATTTATAGTATTTATTTCTGATTTACTTATTTCTTATAGTTCATATATTTTGCTGCAGAGGTATTAATATGTGGTTATGGAGTATTGCATTAGATCTCACTGGAGGTGTTAAATTATATATGAAATATGTACTGTTCAAAACCTAAAAATTCTGAATTCTGAGTCATGTCTGTCTTGGTCAAAATGATTTTTGGTAAGCAGCTGTGGACAAGAATTTCATAATTTCCTCTTTGAAATACCTCTAACGGGTGCCTTGGGTGGCTCAGTGGGTTAAGTGTCCAACTTCAGCTCAGGTCATGGTCTCACAGTTCATGAGTTTGAGCCCTGCATTGGGCTCTGCCCTGACAGCTCAGAGCCTGGAGCCTGCTTTGGATCTGTGTCTCCCTCTCTTTCTGCCCCTCCCCTCCATCTCTCTATCTCTCTGTCTCTCTGTCTCTGTCTCTGTCTCTCAAAAATAAATAAACTTAAAAAAAATTTAGAAATATCTCTATAATTTGGGTTAGTTTCCAAGCATAGGGTTTTTTTGTTTTTTGTTTTTTTAAAGTTTGATGTCAGGTATGCTATTTTGGTTAGAGTGAAGCTTTGGATAAAGGAATGGGAAGAGGGGTGCCTGGCCTTTCAGCTCAGATCAGTAGAGCTGTGAGTCTACTGGATAAGTTCCATGTTGGGTGTAGAGATTACTTTAAAAAAAAGGGGGGGGGCACCTGAGTGGCTCAGTTCATTAAGCGTCCGACTTCAGCTCAGGTCATGATCTCACTGTTCACATGAGGCTCCCGACATTGGGGTCTCCAATTGCAGCTAGACCGCTTGTATCTTCCCTCTCTGCCCTTCCCCTGCTCTTTCACATACACAAACTCACTCTCTCTCAAAAATAAATAAACCTTAAAAAAAAAAAAAAAAAGAATGGGAAGCTGTAAGAGTAGAAAGGTGAACTGGGGCCAGACTGAAAGGGACCATACAAGTTTAAGGGGTTTTTATTTTGTTCTGCAGCCAACATTAAGACCAGGCAATTCATTTGGTTTGGTGGCTGAGTCTTTGTTTCAGAGCTTTTATATTTACTTGGCCACTGTGTGTTAATAGGTAAGCACCCTCTAATCATCCGTCTTCACTTCTTACTACTTGGTGCTGTATATTTCCCAGTTCTGAGCTCCCAGGTCTTCTGTAATCTTTTGTATTCCATACTGTACTTGGGACATTGTTCCCAGTCAGAGAACTGGGATGGATGTGGAACTCAATTGTGTGCTTGGTTACAATCAGATTACAATCCTCTACTACCTGTTGTCCAGTGCCTGAAAGTTACTGCATATGTTTTGTCCTATTTTATAGTTGTTTATGGTTTGAAGGTAAGTCTGGTACCAATCATTCTGACAAGGAAGCAGAAGTCTCTTACTCCTTTGAAACATATGCCATTTGTCTGTTTTCTCATTGATATCAATCTCCAGGTCATTTGTGTTCGTTTATAGATGACTTTGATTTGTGGGTTATAAACTTTCTCTCCATTTTAAATCTTATCATCATTCTAGGTGACTTCAGTGCTTGTGTGAATAACCAACCAAATAGTCTTTCTTGAGGTGATTCCTTTTCAGCCTTCCACTTGGATCAACATACAGTGGCCCTTATTATCACCAGAAAGAGCTTTACCTCCAAAATCTTAAAAAACAAGTATTTTTCTTGCTGATCATTGTCTACTTCTTTCATTCAGTCAGTCAGATTGTACCTGCTCCTTGACTTCTCAGCCCCCTGACTCCTTTGTTTTCTTCCTATCTGTTATTTCACTTCTCTTGTTGCTTTCCTATGCAGTTTAGAGTTGGTCTAGCTTAGAATCCATGGTTCATCACTTCAACCACTCTCTTACCAGAATCCTTAACTCCTTTCTATGCACTCACCTGACAAAATTCAAATCTTGGATCAATGATGCTGCTTGCTTTTTTAGTGTTTATACCTTGGTCACTGAATGCTAAGAGAAAGTCCCAAATCTGTAAATTTAACTCTTCAACTTCAGTATTGTCCAGCAGTTCCTCAGAATACCCTTTTCTTTACTTTTCCTGAGCAGCTGTTTCAGAACTTCCCCAATCTGCTAGAACTTATCTAGCAACCTTTGCCTTTTCTCTGAGCATCTCCTATTTCACTTGAAGGCCACTATATTTTAATCCTCACTACTGAATTGCCAGGTTTAACTGCATTCCCATCCATCTGTTCTTTCTCTCTGGTATTTGGGAAGAGATATCTCCCCCTCTTATTACTATTCTATTTAGGCTCTGAATCCCAACTACTGCTGTCTTCACTAGGATGTTATTCAATTAGTTCTTCTCTCCTTTTTTTTTCTCTTTTCTTCTGCTATCCTGTCAACATTTAAATATGATTAGGTTTTACTAAACATTTTCACTCATTATCTTCCTCCAGCCACCACCTTAGCCCGTCGTTCCTTTAAAAAGTGAATTCACCACATTTACCAACTTTACTTTTTTACTTCCATTTCACTCTGTAATCCACTGTGGTCCTTTGCCATTCTACTAAGATTGCTTTTGCCAGTTCATCAGTGCCTTTTTTTGTTGCTAAAACTTCTCAGTTGCTAAACTGTCTTTTACTTAATTTTACAAATATTTGATCATGTTAACTACTTTGTCCCTGTTGATTGATTGATTGATTTTTTTTGCCTTGACAGCTTTTATGACTTGATCCTTGGTTTTCTTCCCAGCTCTTCTAATTCCTTTATAAATTTATCTGGCTCTGCTTATTTCTTAAACGTCTCTCTTCTTTTTTCATTCTGTAGCTTTTCCTTTGGTCATTTCATTTATTCCCATGACTTCAGTGACCTTTATGTGATAATCCCCAAAATCTTTTCCTTAGCCCATATTCTCTGCAGAGATTTAAACTACCCAATATTTAACTGCTCGTGCAGCATCTCGGCTTGCCATGTTTTAAGACACTTGAAATTTAGCATGTCCAAAGAGAACTGATTTTTTTACCTATTCCTTCAGCTCACATAATCAACAACTCAGTCCTCTTAATTCTTCCTCTTAGGTGTTGCAGAACAATCAGCTTTTTATCTCTGTATTGGCTATCCTTTTATTCCTGTGGATTACTGCAGCTTTCTAATTAGCCTGCATGTTTCCAGTTTAGGCTGCTATCTCTATACTGCAGCCAGAGTGGTTTTTTGATTATAGAGTCTAGTGATACCACTCTCCTTTGTAAAACTTTGAAAATTCCTAAAATCTTCTTAAAACTCTTCATTGTCTCCTAGATATTACTTGTGGTAGATGACAGAAACTAAACTCACACTAGGTTTGGCAAAGAGTGGAATCCTTGGAAGTTTTTGTAAGTGCAGAAAGAACTGGAGTTGTAGTAGCTAGGCTTCAGAGACACGTAGAACCGGAATTTAAAATGCAACCAATACTTTCTTCACTTCCCTTTTTCTCTTTCTGTGGCCTGGCTTCATTCTCCTCTCACCACTACATAGTGATTTGTGGACTGAAGAACTAGCACCACAGTTTGTACCTTATACAGTTATCAATTAATAGACATAATGTGATAATTGGGATTTGAACTGTGTTGTTGGGGGACTGGTGTTTCACAAAATTGTGCTAACAGAAATTTGTGCATATCAGGACTGTGCAGTATGAAGACTGCCTGTATTGAGACATGTTAAGATGCCTTATTTTATGACTCCATATCATCTGGCTTCTGTTTCTTTTTTTTTTTTTTTTTTTTTTTTTTTTTTTTTTTTAATGTTTATTTTTGAGACACAGAGAGCATGAGCAGGGGAGGGGCAGAGAGAGGGGGACGGAGGATCCTAAGAGGACTCTGTGCTGACAGCGGCAAGCCTGATATGGGGCTTGAAGTCATGAACCATGAGATCATGACCTGAGCTGAAGTGGGACTCTAAACTGACAGCCACCCAGACACCCCTGTTTTGTTTTGTTTTGTTTTGTTTTGTTTCGTTTTGTTTTAAGATTCATCTTAAAGCCACTTCGTCCTTGGAGCTATGCTCAAATCTTAGTTCGTGTGATTTTCCCAAGTTTGAATTCCCCTGTCTCTTTCCAAGTCCCTCATTTCTCTACCCTATTCTTTTCTGTTGGGTTTCTGCTACTCACTCTTTTAAGCTTTTCCATAGATACTGCTTTCTTTGAAAAAAGCTTTTTTGTCCTTTTAAATTTGGGTTATATATTCTGCCTGAGGTGTTCCCATATCATGTATGCTTTCTCTTGTCATAATATAGAACACATGATCACACTGTATTGTGCTCATTTACTTACCTGTTACATCTACTAGATCATGTTTTCCATGCATGTAAAGATCATGGCAGTGCTGTTCCCAGTTGTCTCCCTAGAGTGTAGTACTGGGTAGCACAAAATATTAGTCAGTCAGTAACGTTTTTTTTGATTTAATGAAAAATAATCAGAATTTTGATGGTGTATTAATACTACCAATATTATTGGAAGGTCTTTTGGAAAAATATAGACTAGTCAAACCTAGGTACCAAATTACAAAATACTGAAAATTTATACTTTCATATACTTTAAATGAAATGTACATTTGATAGCATGTATTCTGTGATCCTTAGAGTTAAATAAATATATCAGAGACATGACAATTGGAGATCTGTCTTCAGTCTGATATGGTAGGTGCTTAATAAATACTTGTTGAATCATTGAAGGAATAACTTAAATTTTATACTTTTGTTTGGTTGTAATAATTATTTTCATTTATTTCTAAGGTATCTTCATGTTTTAATGATCTTCTGGTCATTTGTTGCTGGAGTTGTTACCTTCTATTGCTCATTGGGACCAGATTCTCTCTTACCAAATATATTCTTCACAATAAAATACAAACCCAAGGTAAAATTTTTGTGTTCTTATTTTTGAAAGAGTCAGCATGTATTATCTGTGCTGTTTAATATTATTATTGAAAGCATGTTAAAGCAGTGATTTATAAAATCCATCTGCTATTATTTAATAGTGGAAGACATAAGAACATATTCAAAATGAAATTTATGTGTATATTTTTGAAGGTATATAGTTCTACAGGGAGCTATGAAAAGAAAATACAAAATTCTCAAAAAGTTGAGATCCATAATTTTATTTTATTTTTTAATGTTATTTATTTTTGAGAGTGTGAGAGAGTGTGAGCAGGAGAGGGGCAGAGAGAGAGGGAGACACAGAAACCAAAGCAGGCTCCAAGCTCTGAGCTGTCAGCACAGTTCACGAACTCATGAATGTGAGATCATGACCTGAGCTGAAGTTGGACACTTAACCTACTGAGCAACCCAGGTGCCCTGAGATCCATAATTTTAGAGTGTCCTCTAACTGCATATTAACCATGAAGACAATAAATTAAGACAGAGGTTCCCAGATTGGTTGTATAGTAGAATCACCTGAGGAATCTTTAAAATAGAGATTCCTAGGCCTTCCCACCAGATTTTGATGGAATAGTTCTTGGTTAGGACCTCATAGTCAGTATTTGTTAAAGGCTTTCCAGGTGATTCTGAGGCACAGACACAATTAGGGAACTCTGGATTAAATGATCTAACCCTGTTAATTTCCTAAATGTCTTTTTGCTCCATAAAAAGAGACAGAAATGATTAGGAAGTTTGCTTAACCAAAATAATTTGTATATCTGAAATTTCATTAGGGTGGTAGTGTACTGAATCTATGTCGAGTAGGCAAAGTCACTAGTGTGTAGATATCTTGAAGTCTCACTTAATAATTCTTCAAGTTAATTCGGTCCCTCTTTTTAGATTTGTTGTTATTTCTACTAAGAAAAAAACACAGAGGGGGTGCCTCATATTTGAATGATTATTTATTTTGAGAGAAAAAGACAGCATGTGCACATGTGTGCACGAGTGGGGGAGGGTCAGAAAGGTAATCGCAAGCAGGCTCCCCATGCTCAGTGTGGAGCTAGACACGAGGCTTGATCCCATGATCATGAGATCATGACCTGAGCCGAAACCAAGAATGGGACGCTTAACTGACTGAGCCACCCAAACGCCCCCAGTGATGCCCCATATTTTGTCAGGAACATTACTTCTCTTTCTCCTAATTGAAGTTAAGGTTTTAGAGAAATAAAAAATAGTTTTTTCTTACATTTTTTCAGTAGAGTATCATTTTCAAATATAGATCGATTTTTCTTTTTTTAATAAGTGAAAATAACAACTGTCCTTAATTTTAAGCTTGGAAATTTGGCTTAGGTATTATAATGCATTTCATCAGGTATTTTTTCTCTTTGATTTGGCAGTTTAATTTAGCCAGCAGTATTTATTACAAGGAATGATTTCAGTGTTACAGCATACAAGTGATAATTTTTTTAAAAATTTGCTGAATTTATACATTGATAAGCTTTTGAAAAGATTATTCTCTTTAGTAAAGATTAAGTGTAAAGTAAAGGCAAATCTCTCCCCTTCCTCATTTCCCTTTTTTAGCAGTTAGGACTTCAAGAATTATTTCCTCAAGGTCGTAGCTGTGCTGTTTGTGGTAAAGTGAAATGTAAACGACATAGGTAAGTTAAACATTTTTTATGTGTTGATCCTTCCAATTACCTTTTGGATTTCAAGCATTTTAATTGTATGATTTTCTTTAGGCCTTCCTTACTACTTGAAAACTACCAGCCATGGCTAGATTTGAAAATTTCTTCCAAGGTTGATGCATCTCTCTCAGAGGTAACAGATTTATTTAATATTGTCAAATATACTCAAGCGGAAAATATGAAATACTATGGAAACTTTAGTCAAGGAACATCTTAATATATGCCACCTAATCAATTCTTGACTAGATAGTTGGTTATTATGAAATATGCAACTCAAATGGTAAGTTAGAAATGTTTTTGGATCCTATGTCTAATTTAAATGGACATTTTAGCCAAAGAAAGCACTGTTTTACCTAGATATTGCTTAACTTTATAACAATAGTCATCTTTATGGTAAGACAATACTATTTTGTAATTCCAAAAGGAGACATGAGCTATAAGGAGCAAGTCTGTCCTGCTGAATTATGATCCCAGTTTTGACACTGGCTGAAGGGTAGAGTGGAGGACAGGATACTTGTCACGGTTTCCACATAATGTAGGAATAAAATGCTCCCTTTTCTTTGTTGCAGTCACATTTTATATGTACCTTTTGGGTAACATATATTTTAGTTATTTCTTTTAGAGACTTTTTTTCCCCATCGATCTGAGAAAACAGTCAAGTCCTTGAAGGCAGAGAGTAGGGTCCCATTTGTTCCCAGCACTAACCGTAGTGCCAGATATTTTGTTGGTAGTTGATAGATATGTACTGAATTAAGTTGAATGCTAATTAGTTGAAGAATAGCATTAGGCTCCTGAATCCTACCTAATTATCTTCTTTTCCAATTTGTATCCTTCGGCTACATAAATGCCAAACTGTTGGCACTTTTCTTTTTCATTTCTTCTGTAAGTCCTTTTTCATCTTCAAGATTCCTTGATTTAGGACTATGCTGTCTAGTATGGTCGCCAGTAGCCACATGTGGCTGTTAATAAACAACTTGGAATGTATTAGCCCAAATTGAGATGTGATTTTGAGGATTTAGTAAGAAAAAAGGAAGGTAAAGTATCCTATTATATGTTTTATTGATTACATGTTGAAATGATAATATTTTAGATATATATTGGTTTAAATAAAATATATTGTAAAATCAATTTCACCTGTTTCTTTTTACTTTTTAAAAAGTGTAGGTACTAGAAAATTTAAGACTACGTATGTGGCTCACATTACATTTTTATTGGAGAGTGCTGATTTGATGAGGTCTGCTCAAGATAAGACCTCTAATAAGAGTATTATGTGTCTTTGGCACTTCATTAATTTCTTAAAAAAAAAAAAAGAAAGAAAGAACTTAAGGGAAGCTCCTGGCTGACTGCCTGGCACTTATTGGTGTTCAGTAAATGTAAGCTCCAACATTTAAAAACATTTTTTGAGATTTTACTATAGGCAGGAACTGGACTTGGCTCCAGGAATAGAAGGAGAAATAAGATATGGTCACTTTCTTCTAGGAATTTCAATCTAGGAGGGGAGGTAGGCATATAAACAGGTACATACAATATAATGTAAATGCAGGCAATAATGGAAGAGATGTGCAATGTATATTATTAGTACAGAGGAAGAAATGAATAACTGTTGAGAGGGGCAACCAGAAAGTATAACTAGAAGTTATACTTCTATACTTCTATAACTGATAGTGTGTGGAAAAAGGTATTTCATGGTTTAGGAAGAGCTTTTGAAAGGAAAGAGAGGCCTTGAAACAAGGTGTTCAGTAAGCTGGAGGGCAAAATGTGAGGGAGGATGTGGGCAGTGAAGATACTATATTGTAGCAGCTAATATTTATTGGTTATTGCTCTGTATTAGGCATAATACTAATTACTTACATTATTTTCTGAAATCACACAACCTATAAAATAGGTGCTATTATTGATGAATTTACCAGAACTGGACTTTAGAGGGTTTTAATAATTTTCTCAAGTTCATAGCTGCTTGGTAACAGAACTCACTCTAAAACCCGAGTCTGGCTTAGTTCTTAACCAGTTTATATTTATTTCTTTATTTTTTAATTTTCTTTTTAATGTTTATTTATTTTTGAGACAATGCAAGAGACAGAGTGCAAGCGGCGGAGGGGCAGACAGAGGAAGACACAGAATCTGAAACAGGCTCCAGGCTCTGAGCTGTCAGCACAGAGCCTGACGTGGGGCTCAAACTCACGAACCATGAGATCATGACCTGAGCCAAAGTAGGACGCTTAACCGACTGAGCCACTCAGGCGCCCCTTAACCAGTTCTTATATGGCCCTTTAGAAATCAGATCATCAAAAGACTAAAAGGACTTTGCTGAAGGAGTGTAATTGATTATGGAAGCCAGTGATTTTTGAACTGTGTAACTGGAGTTTTCAGATGTGACTCATAGGATGTAGTGGGAGGTGAAAAGAAAGTAATGGTCACAGCTGCTGGCAGACATCTTTCTCCCACCCCTTTAAAATTAGTGCAGCTCCACTTTTCTTACTTTGATATATTGTGGTTTGAGAAATTGAAGGTTTATACGGGGTGGGGGGGATAATATGTTCAAATATATGTTTTAGGTTACTCTAACAGCTTTGTGGTGGGTAGAAGGGAGCTAGCTTGGAAGGAGACTAGTTTAGAGGCTGTTGCTACAATTTAGGAGTGAGAAAATAAGGACTGATCAATGGAGCTGTAGAAGAGAGCTACTCAGGATGTAAAATCAATAGTAATTAGTGATTGGAATTGGGAAATAAAATAAGACCAGATGTTTAATGGCAGACTTTCTAGTTTCTGTGTCATATCCCTGCTTATATGTATTTTATTTTCCCACTTGATAATCACCAGTGCTTAGTTTTTCTAATTAAAAAAATCAAATCTTGCCTTAATATTTAGAGAATCTGCAACCTTTCTTATTGCTGCCAGAGAAGGAATATAGGCATATAGTCAGATTAGATATATTGTTTCATTCTCTCCTTACTGCTTTTAAAAGTTACTGCCCACTGTTGCAAGTCTTTATTATTTTTTATTATTTTTTAAAACTTTTGGTTCTACATTTGCAATAGACACATTAAAAAAAATGTTTATTTGAGAGAGAGAGAGAGCATGAGCAGGGGAGGGTCAGGTGGTGGGGGGGACATAGGATCTGGAGCAGGCTCTGTGCTACTAGCAGTGAGCCCAATGTGGGGCTTAAACTTAGGAACCATATGATCATGACCTGAGCTGAAGTTGGATGCTCAACTGACTGAGCCACCCAGTCACCCCGTTGCAGGTCTTTTTAAAAATTAACATACTGCTACACCCAGACACAAGAAATGGAAAGTTTTTTTTGTTTTTGTGTTTGTTTTAATGTTTATTTATTTATTTTGGGAGAGAGAGAGGGAGAGAGCGAGCAGGGAAGGGGCAGAGAGAGAGAATCCCAAGCATGTTCCACACTGTCAGCCCAGACAGCCCAATGCAGGGCTCAAACTCCCAAACTGTGAGATCATGACCTGAGTTGAAATCAAAAAGATGCTCAACCAACTGAGCCACCCAAGTGCTCCAAGAAATGTAAAGTTTAACACCTAGGGTTTCTTTAGTTTTGTTACTTTTTACTTATAATTTATATACTGATTATAAATTTACAGCCTAAAATTTTCACAAAGTAAACATATCCATATAACTAGCACCCAGATCAAGAAACAAAGCATTATTAGCACCCCAGAAGTCCCCCTCATTGTTTCTTTAGTCACAATTCTCCCTTCTGAAGTAATCACTTATACCTAAATTTGACCCCTTATAAAAGTAATCACTGATTCCTAAATTTGACCCCTTATGTAAGTCTTACCTACTTGTTTCTTCATTTTATTCAAGGAATACTGATTTATAGAGAAAGTTAGGAATCTAAAAGGCTAACCTATATTTTTCTTCTTTCCATAGAACTTGTAGTTCAGTGACTCTTCAGAGAAGTCAGGAAAAATTTAAGTGGTTTTTTTTTTTTTTATTTAATTGTAGGAATATTTAGAAATGTGTGTATATCATTCTAATAGCAATTTTTCTTTTTATGGAGTTTTACGGCTTTCACATATGTTCTTTTTTTTAATGTTTATTTTTGAGAGATAGAGCATGTTTGCATACAAACAGGAAAGGGGCAGAGAGAGAGAGGGGAAGAGAGAGAATTCCAAGCAGGCTCCTCGCTGTCAGCACGGAGCCCACCATGGGGCTTGGACTCAGGAACCGTGAGATCATGACCTGAGCTGAAATCAAGAGTTGGACACTTAACCAACTGAGCCACCCAGGTGCCCCTCATATTTTGTTTTTGATCATCACAACAACCATGTAAGGTTGACATACACACTTTGTCATGTGAAAGTATGATATTAGATGTCAATATTTAGGATAATAAAATTGGTTCTTGGTGATATATATTATTCAGTAGTATGGTTTATTTTCCTAGAATTAGTTAATTAATTTGATTTTTCTTTAAAAAATAATTTTTATACAGGTTCTTGAATTAGTGTTGGAAAACTTTGTTTATCCGTGGTACAGGTATGTTCTTTCTATAATACCTTTTTTCTTTACTGAATACAATGAAGTGTGCTAATGAAATGTTTTCGGTGTAGGCCGGGATTTCTCAACTTTGTCACTATTGACATTTTAGGCCAAGTAATTCTTCTTTTGGAGGGGCTGTCCTGTGTATTATAGGATGTTTAGCAGAACTCCTGGCCTTTTTCCATTAGCTACCAGTAATACCCCCTCATCCTCTTATTTGTGATCATCAAAAATGTCTTCAGAGATTGCCAGATATTACCTGGGAGGCATAATTGGCCCTAGGTAAGAATCATAGACATAGGCAATCGATTAACAGTTTAGTGACAGCAAAGAAGAAAAACCTAGGCTGCTTTTTGAAGGAAAATCAACTTAGAGAATTTCTTATCACTCCTGAATGTAGTAACTTAATATTTTGTATGCGCTTTTTACATTTGAAATAATTGTACATTTAGAGGCAAATTTATATTCAGATGTTTCATTAAATTGAAATATAATTTTAATAGTATTTTCCTAGAATATTAATGTTTTTTTCCAAAGTAACTGTTTTTAGTATCTGCTATGGATGTACAAGCACCCTCTGCCTTGGAAGGATATAGAAAATACTCTAGATCTAAAAAATTAATCTAGTTTGAGAATCAGAAATTCAAATTATATACTTAATAAATGTTTCCTTACAAAAACATCGTGTATTTAGTTACATATTTGAACACTTACACCTATATGACTTACAGGTGTAATATTCAATGACATCTGTCTTAATTTTATATATTTTGAATTTTCTAATTAAAAGCCGCTAGTAGGTGAGATGCTCTATATGTATTAAACTTAATATCCAATTTATATGCCATATTTTCCTGAAAAGCTATGTAAATTAATATTTTTATGTTGGATTCTGTCTTAAATATGGGGCATTTGCCATTTAAGTAAAGTTGATGATAAGTCTTTTTGTATAATGAATCCTGTTGTGAATATTCCCCTCACTCCTGCCCGTGTTATGACTCTTCATTAAAGGTGGCTGTATTTCTAAATATTAAAGTATGTATTTTCTCTTCAGTGTAGTTATTGATACTGAAATAGCCACTTTCCTGGGATTAATAGTAGGAAGCGTGGTTAATACAATTATCTTCTTTATTCTGCCAAGGGACTAAATAGCACCATCTCCAAGTTCAGGATATCACCATTATACATACCTTTCTCGCTTGCTTTGATTAGGGAAGTGACCTAATTCTTCTAGGGACCTCAAGACTTCAGGAAAATGAAAAGTAGCTTCTCAGAAGAAAGTTGTTAAAATTTCCGTTTAAAAATGTTTGAGTTTCACTTTATTTTCTTTTTCAAATAGAAATATTATTTTTTACCCTTTACAATCAGTTTATAATATTAATCTATAAATATTTTAAACCAAATTAAAATTTTGTATTAATTTAATTCTGTTGCTCCTCTCATATTATTCTTTGTTTTGTTTCTTAGAAATTTCTTTAATGATGTTTAGAAAATGATTGTAGTATTGTAAAAATATAACTTTGTATATGTGGTTGTCTACAGGGAAATATATACTACAGTTTACTTAGTAATGATTATGTCTTGGTACTAGAATTATGGGAGATGCTTATTTTTTCATTGTACATTTTTATCTTTTATTCTGTAATGTAATGCATTGTTTAAAAAGCAAAGGAAAATAGCATAATTAAAAGGAAAAAAAGAGGAAGTTCTGAACTTTCCCGGGTTTGTGGAAGGAGTAATGGTGTATTTCTCTGAGCTCTTAAATGCTTGCTTTTCTCCTTAATTGAAGGGATGTAACAGATGATGAGTCCTTTGTTGATGAACTGAGAATTACATTACGGTTTTTTGCATCTGTCTTAATTCGAAGGATTCACAAGGTATATATTTATAATGAGCAATTTGGGAATTTGGGGTTTTATTATTCCTAAAAAGGTGTTTTTTTTTTTTTAATCTTAGTTTTACTTTATCCTATACTATAAGTATTTTTTTCTTCACTTTAATTTTTTTAGATTAAAAGGTAAATGGGTCATTTTTGATTTATTGATAAGTTTTACTTCCTTTAATGCTAATGCACCTTGGTTTGTAGTAATTAGAAATAAAAAGACAACTAAAGACAACTGTAGGAAAAAAAGTCTCGTTCTAGTTAGATGAATTTATTGAGTAAATGGCGATGATTATGATCTACTTTTTAAAAAAATGTTTCAAGTCATATGTTTGGGTCTTTGTATGTAGTTACAGTATGTTGGCTATAGACACACATGCTTGTATACTGCCTTGTCAGTTTGATAGAATTGAGCACATTGACAATAAACTGGTATATATCATCTCTCTACAATTACTAAATAAAGGTAAATCTTATTAAATGTTTCTATACTTTTTTGAGAAATTAACAAAATAGTCAATCACTGTAGAAAAGATATGCAAAAATATGAATAAGCAGTTCACAAAAGAAAAATAAAAATGGCCAATGAACACTTGAGACTATGTTTTCTCACATCAAATAAATACAGTTTTTTGATGAGATGCTCTTCTGTTGCCTATCAGATTGGGAAAGAATGATAATGTCTAGTAATGGTCATTGTGGGGAAACAGGCAGAACAAGTACAAATCCAAATTGGTATAACTCATATACTGGAGGGCAGTTTGGTAATCTTTAACAAAAGACTTAAAAACGTCTATACTCCCAAATTTAATTATATTTTTGATAATATATTTTAAATAATCATGAGATGTATGTAAAAATGAATGCTCGAAGATTCATTGTAGTATAATTTAAGAAAAGGAAAACTGAAAAGAAAATCTGATGTCTAATGATAAAATTGTTGATTAAAATATAGAACATGCTAATTATAGAATCCTGTACAGCCATGAAAAATCGTTTTGTAGAATAGTACTTATTTACATGAGAAATTATTTTCCTTATATAATCAAGTGGAAGAGGCTGGAAAATAATATATGTGGTATTTTTCCACATTGAAAACAAAGCTTACATATTAAAGCTTGTTAATATGTGTATTAAGTACATATATATCCTTATTGTTAACTCTTACCAACATGATGGGTTGATGCTGATTTTTGGTTCTTACCATGCACTTCTTTCAGTTCATCTTTATTTTTCTTCATATTGAACTTTTACCATTTTATAAATAGAAAAAAGTTGATAAATATTAAACACATTGTCTACTTTTTAATTAAAATTTTTTTAATGTTTATTTTTGAGAGAGAGAGAGAGAGAAAGAGAGAGAAAATGTGAGTGGGGGAGGGGCAGAGGGAGGGAGACACAGAATCCATAGCAGGATCCAGGCTCTGAGCTGTCAGCACAGAGCTTGATGTAGTACTCGATCCCATGGACCGCGAGATCATGACCTGAGCCGAAGTCAGACACTTAACTGACTGAGCCACCCAGACGCCCCTTAATCGTATTGTTGAAAAAATTCTA